AATATAAATGTTAAGCTACATTACTATGTAATGTGAGATACTAGCGATGTCTCGAAAAAGACTTTAATCCTTTAACCATATTAATAAAATAAATTACGTGCTATATTTAAAAATATACACTTGTTTTAATCGTTTTAACAGGTCCTGCATCTCCAGTTTAAATTTTTAAAAAGTACTTTTACATTATGAATACACTAATTTTGTAAGCTTTTAAAAGTAACCAAGTCATTTTGATGGTAAAAACAGAGGAATTACTATTATTAATCGTTAGGAGACGCAAAGTATTGTAAAATAAATATTGTAAATATATATTATAACCAACATTTATTGAACAAAATACTTGGTTGTGGTTTTACACACGCACACACAAACTCATCCATTAACAATTATTTTTCGTGAAAACTCTTTAGGTAAAAAGTTATTTTAGGGTGGTTGTACTTGAGTCAAAAAAAACTGAGCATATTTCGTAAAATTTTCTATTTTGTATTTCAACCAGCTTTAAGTGAGAAAATCAACAAAAAGTTTCCAGTCGATTCTACTAAGGTGTTTTAAATTTTGTGAAATTAGCGTATGGTTTGCATATATTGTCTGTTTACTCGTATATTGAGAAAACTAATCCTATTAATGTATTAAGTATGTAATGTTTAACAAATTTTATTAATTACACATTGTTTATAAAACTGTAAATCATACTACACAAGATTTATTACAACCAAATTATTAAATTAATCGCCTACGATTTTTACATTATTTAATAATTAGCTAACAATTTAGTTTTACTGTAATTTAAAATAATTTCTTAATCTTTTGTTTTTGTTTTTCACTGATATTATGGTATATATATAAGGATTTATTTTTCATTTTCTACTTATTTTTTCATATCGCTTTTTCATCTTATTTGAAAATATATTCAAATAGACTTAAAGCTTTGGTAGACTAATTTCCAGATTGGATATGGGGAAGGAGGGACGTATTTCTAAATTAGTGACTCTTAATAAATATACGATCACGTATTGCATTTGTAAATAACGCAGGGTATTCAGATAAAGGTCGATTTTATTTTAGTAAAAAAAAAAAAATAAATATAGGAACTCCATGTACACATCTATTTTATAAGAAAAAGATTATAATTAAAGGGAATTAGGAAAATGAATGGCGGTTTTACACTCAGAAATAACTATGGAAATACAATTATCAATCTTCTGTCTTAATAGTAGTAACAAGTGTTTCACTGACATGATTTATACGTAGTTAACTGTTTCTTTTGTCTTAAATGAGTATTAAGACTGTTTTTCTAAAAGTATGTTTTTAATTTTTCATAACTTAAAACGTGCAGTGTTTTATATTAACATTTAATATTATTTTAGACACCATTAATTGGGGGATGTGGGGGGGGGCACATGAGATGAGGCACAACGATTACCAGAAGATCAATCTTTGGTTCGTTTGAAATTTTCTTAGCTATAAGAAGAGCAGGATTAAAATTCACCAAATTTCTCTGCTTGAAAGTCTGACAGATTGTTAATAGGTCTATTAAACAAAGAGGAATATAACATAATAGTCGATCGATCATGTTCCCTCATTGACACCAATCTGTTCCTCTGCCCCGCTGTTTAATAATTTTTAATGGCTTTGATATACAAAAAAAAAACTCAGAATGTTTAATTTATTCTGTATGTGTGAGCCTTCCAGGAAATAAAAATAAAATGGAATAATTCTACAAGCTGGTGTTGAGAACAAAGAAAGATATTGTTATTGTTCAAGTGTTACGTCACGTACTGTCTAGTGTAGCTAGCTACGACATAATGATCTTCCATGTTCTATACAATGGCAATCAATTGTTAAAATCTTTAGCTAAACACTGACGTATTGATATATTTCCAAACATTCCAGTAACAGATCGTTTAACTGAAAAACGGATTATGTGTGTTGACGTTGTTCATATACTGTATATTTTCTCTCTTTTTTTTTTTGCATTTAAAATGTATTTTTATTAAACGTCATTCTGAAATTTGTTTATTCATTACTAACCTAATA